GCAGAGAGGGCAAGGGGTCCCCGGCCGAGGCTCTCCGGAGGTTGGTACGCCGCTTTGGGGAGCGAGGCTTCTGTGCGGGATTGCGATGCATGCCGAGAGCCGGCCTCAGACCTGCATCCACCCTCCGCTGCACTGTATGGGTTTGAGGCTAAGATGTTTAGCCCGGAATTCACTTACTTGTACCCCCAGAGACCTGGTAAGCATAGAGGAGGGCTGTGGCGGATGAAGTGCTGTCGGATATCGCCAGGAGAAGGGAAACTCAGTGCCTTGGTTGTACAAGGGAAGTCTCCCTTAACTGTAGTAACCACTGAGTGAGTTGTTACTAGCTCCATTTTTCTGATGGGGAAACTGAGGCGTAGATAAGTATCAGTCATTTGCTCAGAGCCACACACCCAGCAGTGGACAGCAGGAGTGGGGAGGGAGGGAGCGGGGGTGGTAGACAGGATTTGAACTCAGACGTGTCTGGTTCCCAAGCTCCTGTATTTCCCACTTTCACTATCACCAGGGATGGGGTCCAGCAAGAAAAAAACAAAGACCTGTTGTGTAGGTGAGAACCTTCACGAACCCATCCCTACTGTATGTGGTCTAAAGAAATGCCGGAGATACCGAGTTCAAGGGTTTCAGTCTTCATCCCCTTGTGCCTAAAACTGGAGCAAACTTGAGCTGACAGCCGACTGCCCTGGGATATTTCGGGACAGAGGTTCAGTCCCAGGTGTTGCTAGGGGTCCTGCCAGCTGTGAGGAGCCCCCAGCCCTAAGGCTGGATCAGAAGCTGAGTCCCTTCAAGTTGGGACGGGAATGTGCTTCTGAGCAGACCTGGGTCAGCCTTACTCTGAAAAGCAGTATGTTCTTAAAGCTTTAATAATGCAAAGACACCTGGGAATATGCTCAGAGAATCCTAGTACCAGAAATACTGATTAAAAAACTGAAATCTTTCAATTAGGAAATATCACTGCAAAAGAGAAATTTGGCAATTATAACTGGTTCAAGAAATATTTAAATTGTGTCATTAAAAACCCCAAGCCTAGGGCTGGCTGGCTAGCTCAGTTGGTTAGAGTGCAGCCTTATAACACCAAGGTCATGGGTTGGGATCCCTGTACCGGCCAGCCATCCAAAACAAAAAAGCTAGCATTGGTTACATGCTTATTTAAAAGAACAAAAACCCAAGCTTAAAAATTGTCATAGAACTTGTGACCAACTCCTTCTTCCACCCACATGTAGAGCTCAATGTTAGAAACACTGGACCAGCTATTAAATGCTTTATTTTAAAAATACAGGTTCCAGGGCCCATCTCAGACCACTGCCCCAGACTTTTTCTGAAGGGATTCTGATGCCCAGTTGGAACTGCTGAGCATGTTGGAACGGTTACAAATAAAGAACCACTCCACCCTGAATCTCCTAGCTCAAAGACTGCAGAGATTTTTGCCTGTTGTGCTCACTGCCTTGTTTTGTTTTTGTTTTTGCACTGGCCAATACAGGGATTTACTCACTGCTCTATCACCAGCACCTAATACACAGATTGGCACCCAATGAGGATTCACTAAATATTTGTTGAATATATGTTGAATGAATGAACTGGGAATTTGGCAACTAAGAGGACATTCAGTGAACAGATATTTAGC